AATTAAATTAAATATAAATATCATATTTTGTATTTTTAAACGTTATTTGAATATACAAAAAAGTAAACATATCTGATATAATTCCATTTCTCTTGAAAAACCTGCCTTATGTCAACTCATGTCATATATTATGCCTACTCCCATAAATGGCTTATATGAAATATAATACCTTACATATAGACAAAATTAACCCCATAGACTATTTACGTCATATAAATAATATTTAACTGTCTATTTAACGCCCACTGATATAAAGCAATTATGTTGTTCTTCCCACACAGGTGGCGTGGTTGCGTGTCGATACGCAAACGATTTTGACCATACAGAATCATGTAATAACAAAAAATCAGCGGATTGGCATTGCCAACTCGGAGCACAAGACTTGGACGATGCGCATCAGGGACATCAAGGAGTCCGACAGGGGCTGGTAGGTGTCGAATGGGCAGCCGAATTAAGCAGCTTAATAAATTGTGTGCGATATTTATAGGTATATGTGCCAAATAAATACGGATCCGATGAAAAGCCAAATGGGCTACCTGGACGTTGTTGGTAAGTGAGCAGAGGAAGATGTTTCCAGAAAAAAATGCAGAAAATGCAAAAAAGAAAAACGCAAACACTTTTGCCTTTTCCATTTCGTTTGGCAAACAATCATACGCCTCGTTGCCAGGGCGGCGCGCTATTGTTCGCACTCGGTTTTCAACGAATAAAAACTACGATAAAAAATATAAATAAATATATATATGTGTATATATATTCATATATACGAGTGCACCAACGGTGCCAACAAAACGTTTCCGCGAGAGCGAAGCGGAGTTCGCTGCATGGTTTATGAAATTTCGTTGGCTAATGCCAACGTGCGCTCGACCCGCCCCCTTCCACGGTTTCTGGCTCAGCTCCCCTGCTTAAACATGTTTAACCGTCCACTGAACCGCACAAATTGTTGATTTTGAATTAAAACGGCGCCCGGTCCGAATGCGAAGCCAAGAAATGCATCGGCAGCTGCTGCGAGCTGGTTGTCCATTTGTGGTCTTCAAATGCATCCCCTCTTCGACATTCACGCCCACGTCCACTCCCCCTACACACCCCAACTAGAACTAGCCACTCTGCAGCGTGCTGGCTAAATACCTTTCGCTGGCAAATCTAAATCAACGCGCTAAATATTTTAGAGCCGCCGCGAAGCCACGGGCCTTGCGCTCTGCGCCAAACACGAAAAACTATAATCAACTGTGTGTATTTGCAGTGGATAATCAGCGCACCACAGCAACAGGAAAAGGAACGAGCACCGTTCGATAGGGGTCAGCGGCGGCGCGGGCGACTGTGGGCGCTGATGATTTTCGTGACCAAGTGCAGTTAAACAGCCGACGACAAACGGACGGACGGACGGCAGGGGGCGCACTACTTGCCAGCGACATCCGTTTGAATGCCGTTTCCCAAATACACACATACATATATACGCATTCGTACACTCATACACACACACACACACACACCCATCCACACTCGCTGTCATACAAAAGCCATTCGACTCCCTGGTTGGCATTTAAGCTGATGAACGCGCTGCAGCTCGCAAATTTGTTCACACAATCATTTTTGCTTATTAAACAAACATTAAAAATGACAATTGAAAATCAAGCAGGAGCATTGCAATCGTCCGTTAACAACTGCATAATGCTCATTCATGGCCTAAATGCTTTCAAATTCACTTTCCGATTTGCCAAAATTTGTGTAAATATATTTATACATATACATATACATATATTATTTGTCTGTAACTCAGTAAAAGATGCCAATAGTAATTTAATCGTTTCTTTTTTCTTTTTTAATTTTAAAAAATAAATAGTGTTTTTTTTTTTTTTTTTTTTTTTTTTTTTTATTAAACAAACTGCATTTTGCTGGCATTTTATGTTCTTATCGATATGAGGAAACAAAAGTAAAAAATAAAAGATCAAATATAAAAAATAAAAAAATTAAATTAATTGATTAACAGTTCATTATACAGAAAATATTAAATTAATCACACATTAAAAAAAATCAAAGAGCATACTTGATTCATTTGGTCCTGACATAGTTCTCAAATATGAACTATCGTTGAGTGCCTGAAAAGAGAAAAAAAATATTTTTTGTTCATTGAATGTTTTTACTACACAGAATTATCATTTATTTTATTTAAATGTTTTACTACAAATATTATATCTTCCCTAAACTGTGGAGCATACGTAATATTATAAATTATAAAAT